AAGAAGAAATTGAATTCACATGCTTGTGAGATTTCATCCACTCCAAAGAAGCTCAAATTCAATGCCAATTCATAGGCAAGATGAAGTGGGAGTTAGGTATTGCATTAAAATAGGAATGGTGGTTTTGGAATCCATCATGATGTTTCTCTATCTTAGCCCTATAAATGGAGAAGTCTTCAAGCTTCAAAACACACACCAAGCTCACAATCTTCTCTTGAGCTCTCTCTCTCCTTCCTCCAATTCTTCTAGTTTTAAATTTTATTTTATGGGATACTAACTCCCTAGCTAAGGCTAGGGAGAAAGCTTTTAATATGAGTATGTAATTTTTATTAGTTTGATCCAAACTTAAGCTTTAATGTAAATTTGTAGTTTTGTTCAAATGGAAGTCGTAGTTTTTCTTTTTAATTAATTGATGAATGTTTGATAATCTATTTCATGGGTTCAATCATGTTTTTTCCATTGTGTAGTAAAAAATTTCATGCTTTTAAAAGAGGAGATAATTACTAAGGTTAATAGAATTTCGACGAAGATTATTTTTTGATAGTTTGTTGCCAATGGTACAAGTTATGTTTAGAATACTTCTAAAGGAAATTAAAAAGAGCTTTAATTATTTTGAACAACTAAAATGGAAAATATTTTGTGGATCAAATTAATAAGAGTTGCATGCTTATGTTAAAAGTGGAACCCCAATGCCTTAGTGTTTTAATCAATTAAATTTCCTTTAAATCAAATCTTGATTAAATCTACACCTTTATCTTAATTGTTCTCTCACAGCTCTGTTATTTTGTTTACACCACTCACTATGGATACGACACTTGTACTTCCGAACTACACTGCTATACGAGTACGACACCTTTGCTTGGGTTTTGCAAAGTGGTACAAATCACCCATGGCTGCAATGAGCTTTCTAGGAACCCACCTAACAATTACTGCCATAGCAACCAAGCTGCACTCTCCTACTCGCCATTGTTCTCTAACTAGAACCCGAAAACACTCACATTTGCTGTCGATGGTAAATAACGGAATAGCCAAGGGCAAGATAGTAGTGTCGTCGACATTATTCAAGTGCAACAATAGAGATCACAACCACATGGAGATCTATGATTCTGCGGAGGATGAGGAGGAGGAGGTGCACGAGCAGTTCAAGTGGTGGTTTCGCGAGGCTTGGCCCTATTTGTGGGCCCACCGCGGCGGCACTTTCGTCATCATCATATACGACGAAGTTGCATCAAACCCAAATTACTTAAACCCTATTCTCAAGGACATTGCCTTTCTCTATCACTTGGGGATCAGGTTTGTTCTTGTTCCAGCCACCCACGTAGAGATCTATAAAATTCTGGCAGGCAGAGGAAAGAAGTCACCAACCCAGAAACCCTAAACGCAGCAAAGGAGGCGGCCAGGTGGATTTGTTATAACATAGAGGCAGTTCTTTCCACAACGCCCTCCGTATCCAACATCTGACGGCGGCATGGCAGCGACATCAGCCGTCTTCATGACGTCGGCGTGAGCATTTGGTACACTATAGCTGCTTCATATAATACTTGGATCCATGGGACAGATTAATCTTTCCCCTCCTCTTCTAGGGGATTGATTCAGTTGAACCTTCAAAATAACCGCGTCTCTTGAACCAATCCACAGCTCTAGTTGTAAGCAAGAAGAGCTTGTCCAATCTGAGACAAGTTGCCTTCTTCTCAATGTAATCAAGAAGCTTATGTCCCTGCCCTTGTCAATGACAGTCACTAGAAACTGCAAAAGAAGCAACCTCCCCACATTTTTCTTCATAATCAAGAAGCTTATTTCCCCATAATCAACACCGGTAACAACTCCTCTTCTTTTGGCCACAACAAAGTTACCAACGTGTTGGAATGCATAATCATAATCATCATCATGCAAACTGAAGAAGAATGAACAATGAATTTTACACCTATTAATGGTACCAATTCCAATTACAAACCCCCCCAAATCAACATTTCTTCCTCCTTGTCTTAATTGATTATGGTTTTGTGTTTTTATTAATTAATTAGGGTTTTTTTTTAGGGATATGATTTCCCCACTCTTCTTTTCTCCACTTACACTCCCTTTTGCTTTTTAATACCTTTTAATCAATTTTGTTCTTTCTCTTTCGTATTATACCCTTACCCTATATTATTATTATTATTATTTACTTCGCTTTTATATTAGTTCTTTTTCTTTATACTTAATTTTCTAACTTGCACTCCATTTTCAGTATTAAAGGTGCTATCATTTGTATTTTCTAAATTGATTATAGTTTTGTGTTTTGATTAGTAGAGTTAGGAATGAAAGTGCTATCGTTTAATTTGTAAATGTTATTCTCTTCCAAATTTTTTTTTAGAACTTTTACAAAGGATTCGCTAGAGGCCCAATCACATAGTTGGCTCACTCGATGGCCCTTAGATACTGAACTGGCCCAATTGAAACGATATTACTGCTGTCGTTTAATTTCGTTAGGATTCTGATTTTCCACAGAGAGCGTATGCAATCCTATCCTAGACCCCCAATGGCGCTCTACAGGTCCGGCGGCGTTCTCATTTCGAGCCCAGCACTCGCTCCCTCCAAAACACCAATCTCAACCATTCACCTTCAACATTTCCCAACAATTTCCTCAAAACCCATATTCAAAAACACCACCGCAAAGCCACTAAGAGCAACTCCAGCGCCCAACCCAAACTGGGTGAAAGGCTGCCAGGGCGAGCCCGAGATGGCTACAGCGCAGGGCTCGTAGCCCGGTTTCATGGTGGGTCCCACGAGCCCGAGGAAGCCCAAGGGCAAGTCTTGCCCGGGCTGAAGCCCGAGTCTGGACACGCGCCAACGGTAAAAAAATTTAACTTCCGTGCGCTGGCGTCAACGTGACGCAAGCGCTGACGTCATCACCTGACAGTCTCCAACGGGCGTTTGCCTGTGGCGCAACAGGGACTCTCGGATGGATTTTTTCCAGAAATCCGACGGTCCTCGTTTTTTTGGCTAAAAAATTGCAAAAAAAATCAAAAAAATTCTGAATTTTTTTTTTTAAAAAATACCCAAAAATTCTGTATTTTTTCTCTATAAATACCTACCCATTTTATTTACTTTCCACACTAAATCTTCATACAATTTCTTCTCCATCCAATATTTTTTACTCTCCACTCACATTATTCACTTTCCACACCAATTCTTCATACAAACTTTTCTCTTCCAATATTTTTTTATCTCTACTCACATTTTTCACTTCCGCACCAATTCTCCATACAAACTCTTCTCCTTCCAATATTTTTTACTCTCCACTCACATTTTTTCTATTACTTTCCATTTGTATATAAAAAAAATGAATGGCATCTTCTGTTGAAGTCGGAGGCTCGTGGTCAACGAATGAAGATATTGCGTTGTGTTAATCTTGGGTGAACGTTAGTCATGACCCTATCACGGGCAATGAGATGAAGTTTCATCACATGTGGAGCAAAATTCATGGAGAATTTTGTCAAAGATCGGGTTCTATTCGGACCGAAATGGCCTTGTCTAGTAGATGGAAACTTCTGAATAAAGAGTTAGGGAAATGGAGAAATGCCTTGACAAAAGCAAAGGCGAACATTCAAAGCGGTCAAAATTTGACCGATGAGGTAAAATATTTATAATTGCCATTTTAATCAATTCAATGTCACTTTTTTTTTATTGCATATTCTATTTGTTTTTCTTGCATATTTTTTTTTTCTTGGTGCACCTTTAATTTGTCTATATTTTC